GTTAAAATACCAAAATGACGAACTAATCATCAACCAACAGGAGTTGTTTTTTTAACGCAGCCACTTCTTAATTGATTATCCGACTATATCACCATGATATCCTTATTTTTCTAGCTTAAAGCACCATTGGAACCTCGATTTCTTATACACTCATATCCTGATATGTTGGTTAAAATCCCCATCAAATGACCATACACTTGGCTTCAAATCATTCGAGACAAATCATTCAAATCTCCCAGAAAATTCGTTAAATGCCGAACCATTCCGAACGATGGTTACCATCTGGTTATGACTGACATAGCCATGGTATAGATGGCCCATAGAAATAGATGGTTTACCATGGTTTTCCTATAAAAAATGGGTGGATCTTTCCATGGCAAACTGTTAGTCATAACCAGATGGTTAGAAAATCCCCCACGGCATCATGACATCCTCCGCTCCGCTCCAGGTGAAGCGCGACCCGTCTTCGCCAAGCGCATCGCCCTAACGGCCTTAGTGGGCCCCTCGGGCCCGGCGCTGTCCCCGGCGCCACGCTTCGCGGCGCCGGCGTTGCCGGCCACGCCGCGGACGCCCTCGCTGCTGGAGGAGTCCGCTGCGGAGTCGCCGGTGAGGAAGGCGACGTTTTTGGGGATGGTGAAATGGTGAGGTTTCCATAGGAAAATGGGGGTACCCTGGTCGCGAGCTTTGGATGATTTATTTCAAAATCCCAATCTAAAAATGGATGATTTGGGGGTAGCCCTATTCTAGGAAACCTCCAGATAGCAAAGTTGATGGCAAATCACTTGGCGAACTGTTGGGTTGGGATAGACTCTACTAACGATCCACGATCCATGGGATTTAGATTTCGCAACTTGCAGGGCCCGAGGGCCTCACCTTGTGGTGAGATCTTGTGGTTGAAATAGTGCCAGATCTTGTGAACAAATGATGGAACACTTACGGGAAACAGGTTGAACTAGTATAAAAGTGCGCGAAGAAGTGCTGGAACAAATCGAAGAACGTGTGGAGTAACATGGTGAACAACTGGTGGACAATTCACAAAACATTAGGAAATATGGTGGAAACAGCTAAACACACACAGGAAACACTCGAGTTTGATGAACTGTCCAAACTCTTCCTAAAATCCAGAAACAATATCCCAACATATCCCAACATATCCCAACATTTCCCAACAAAGGACATTTTCCAACACTGCCGCAACATCCGGCGGCTAGGTACGCAGGCGCCTACGCTTTAAGCAAGGTTATGATGCGAAGCTGGAACTGATTGGAGAGAGCGCATTGGGATCTTTGATGCTCGGCCCTCCCAGTTCCGTGTGTTGGTTTACAAACCCCATCTGGTTGGTGGTTTGGAACATGAATTTTATTTTTCCATATATTGGGAATAACAACCCAACTGACGAACTTATATTTTTCAGAGGGTTTGTTTTACCACCAACCAGCCATGGTTTCTGTATTTCAGTAGAGTTAAATATCTGATATTCCCTATAAAACCAACCGGGTTGGAGGTCAACCGAGCTATCCAGTGAACTAAGTTTATAAGTCAACTTAGCTATGGGCAGACATCGGGTTGGTTTGAGATAGTTTCTGTTTCCCATCCTAGGTTGAGTTTCAAGCCAGTAGAAATGAAGATTGGAAGACGGGATTTACCAGCATGGTGCTGAAATAAAACGACTCACATTGCGGCAACTCTGTTGAGCTCTGATGACCGTGCTGATGAATTCCGAAGACATCAAGTTTTCCACGGTGTGACGGTGTGTGGAGGTGGCCGACACTTTGAGTGCTTTGTAGAATTCACCAGACAAGGTGGAAACGAGGCTCTGGCCGAGAGGATGGAAGCGGCATGCTGGCAATCGTTTCAGGTCATTTTCAGTACAGGTCTTGGAGCCACACGACGAAATCGACAAGATGGTCCTAACATTCCTCACCAAGTTTCGCCCCAAAGACCTGGACCTGGGGGACTTTCTAACTCCATCTATGACTAAAGCTGACCATGTTTTTTTTGTTACCTACACCTACATTTCATTGTTGCTTTGAAACTGAAACCACCTAAACCAGTGGATATTTGTTGAAGCCATCATCACGGCCATTGGTTGAGACTTTCGATCCCCAGGATATTGCGAAGCCCAAAAAATGTTGCTGCTCAACAAAATACATCATCCATACCCTCTGGCAAACCAACTGAGCGAAAATGGCCATAGAAATATATTTTGGATGGATTACAGTACCCATTAAAAATGCTGATTTTTCATATTTCTAGTTATCCCAGAGGGTACTTCTGGTTGTGGTGATTGGCAAAAACCAGTGCTTTATGCAACAAGACTCGGCTCGGCGAAGCCGTACTCAGTTTGAGTTTGCTATGGAACATGGCCCCATAACTACTGTGGATGGAAAAAAAATCCTGCATCACCAAAAGGATGGTTGAAACCCCAACAAAATCAAAGGATGTTGGCCACCTATCAGATATCAACTGGTGCAAGATTTCGCTGGCCCATCCACCGTATGTTAGTTTACTGAAGGGTATCATGTAAGAGTCTTTTTAGCAACGGCTCGTTGCTTGTTGACTTTCGCACACGTGATGTTTAGCAACGGATCCCCCAATCTGAAGAGTCGAATTGCCAAGCTGTTGGATGGTTACCCTCTGGTTATGACTAACATAGCCATGGGATTTCGATGGCCCATAGAAATAGATGATTTTCCCAGCTAGAAACCTCCATTTAGTTCAGGGATTTTCCATGGCTATGTTAAATAACCAGAGGGGTAAACGGAGGTTTCCTGAAACAGGGGTACCTCCATGACTATCATCCATTTTTGATTGGGAGAAAATATTTTCCCATGGAAATTTTTACCATCCATTTATGATGCCATTTATAGGGGTACCCCCATGACTATGGAAACCCCTAAACACACCCATATCTAGTTGGTGGTTTCAACCATTTGGATTATTTTCCATTTCATAAAAAAGGGATGTCATCCCAACCCCATTGACGAGTCGTCCATCATTTTTCAGAGGGGTAGGTTGTTTTACCACCAACCAGATTTGCTAACTTCTTCAATGCCATAATCATAATCCGAGGTCTCATCTCGGTCCGTCATGGGCACTTTAGGCAATCTGTGTTGCCCATTTCGACCTCATCCGGACCTCGTTTCTGTGTTGGCCCAAAGAAATCATCTGCAATCCCTGGCCGATTATTTGCCAGTGCCCAAAGAGTTTCGATTGGAACCGGCGAAGACTGATATAGAATCTGGTATATAGAAATCTGATATACCAGATATAATCTGATATAATCTGATATTAATAGAAATCCTGGTGATGTCCCCTCTGTCTATCCGGTTATATCTCCATGAGATTTTTCCATGATATCTGTGGTTTTTACTGGGTGAACTGAAACACCCCTTGACGCTTCATGATGGCTGCAACCCTCAGTAAATTGGCTGCTTTGGGTGTCATGCCATGATGGTCTCCGGAGTATGCCCCACTGCACAAAAATAGATCCCAACTATGGATGGTTAAGCCCTGCTAATCCCATATTTATGCTTGGCTAATGTTGGTTATTACGGAGAAATTCTCCTAATTTCCCATCAATCGGACGGGCAAATCTACAGGAATAGATGTGGGTGTTCGTGGAAATTCTGGATGTTCGTTCGAAGATTCGTGTTCATCATTTCCAGGAATCCCACTTTGGCATCTGGAGGTTATGACATGTTATGACTGGGCATTCTATGCCATAGGTCAGTGGATTTCCCCCGACTGTCCTTGGGAGAGTCGTGCATGTTTTATAGCCATGTTGCTGGTTGGTGGTGACTGGAACATGAATTTTATGACTTTCCTATCATATTGGGAATTTCCTACTCCCATTTGACGAACTCATATTTTTCAGAGGGGTTGGGCTCAACCACCAACCAGATAAACACTTCAGTTTTGTCTGAGAAGACTGAGTAACCCACCCCCTTGGTCAAAATCATGGGAGTCGAGAGAGAATTCGTACGAGACATTGCCTATTTCGTACGACCATCCCATGGTTTTCACCAAATCCCATGAAATCCAAACTTTGGGTGCTTGATCCATGATCATCCCATATAAATGGTTGTTGAATGTTGCTGATACACATTTTATAGCCATAAGGCCCAAAAAAAACAACCCTTCATGTTTCCGATGAACAAACACATGCAAGAAAAAAGGTCAACACATATCATATAGCAAGTTTATGATAGTTATATCATGTTCTATCCCATAGAAATATCATTGAAATATCCCCAGTAACATTCCTACTACATCCCTATGATTTCCCATTTGATTCTTTGGATTCATATCTCATGAAAAATCCAGGTTCCACATTCCTCAAAAAGCCAGGGACGCTCCAACTCATTGTAGGTAAATGATCGTCACTTTTTGGAATGAGGCATTCTACCTATATTTACCCTTTATTTACCCCCAAACGTAACTAGGGTGTTCGAAATTCCGTGCAAAAAATAAGAACAATTCAACATCTCAGTTATATCAAGTTGATTATATAGTTATATAATGTTACATATATATATAATTCATATCTCAATTACAATGAACATTCCATGAAACAATTTTCCCCCCAACAAACCCTGGGGTGAACTATCCCACTTACGATTCCTCAAGTGAACCATCAAGTAGATTGGCATGAAAAAAAACTCCAAAAAAACGCAAAAATGGATGAGTCATATCCCATTTAAAAAACATCAAATTGACGAGTTATATATCCCAGTAATTCCTCTCAATTCCATTTCAACATATAACTTGTCAATTTGATGTTTTTATGGGTTTGTTTCTGGGATATTTTTCTGAGATTTCCTATTGGACCAATATGTGAAAAAAACCCACGAAGAGAATTCCATTGGTCCAAGATTTTTTTTCGAAAATCCACTACCAATGGTCATTTTCCGCTATGTAAACGTTTACCAGAGGGCAATGTGGGATTTATCATTACCCTCTGGTAAACATACAAAAAGCTATTGAACATGACCATAGAAATAGTGGATTTTCCCATTAAAAATGGGTGGATTTTCCATAGTTTTTTGTATGTTTACCAGAGGGTACTTCACTGGGTCCCACAATGGACGCGTCTTGTCGGATCTCAGAAGTCTGGAGCTCACGGCCTCGATCTTCAGCTTTCTGGACGTCCGCACGAAGATCTCAGCAGTCTTAGTGGCTTCCATGGGCCTGCGGGAGGTGGGATATGGTCGATGTTCATGAAATTTCACCAAGATGGTTTTTTTACCCTCTGGTTATGTCAAAATAGCTATGGAAAATCACCATTTTTAATGGGAAAATCCACTATTTCTATGGTCATTTTCAATAGCTATTTTGACATAACCAGAGAGTAAATCATCAAAGATCATCAAAGACTGGGTCTTTGATGCTTTTTTGGTTGTTTTTTTGGGGGGATTTCATCCAAGATGAGGACTTTGGACTCACCAAAGCCATGGGTTTTTGATGTTTTCCGAAGCACCACACACGCGGTCGATACGCCCAGAAGTGGGGATTTCCGCCATCGATGATCTTTTTATGCCAAAGATTCCCCAGAAACAGCCAAAGGTTTTTGGGGAAAGTTCTCACATACCCTCTGGTGAACTAACATAGCAATGGAAAATCACCATTTTTAATGGGAAAATCCACTATAAATGGCAATTTTCAATTGCTATGTTAGTTCACCAGAGGGTATCATAAAAAAAATTGAGTGTTGAATATTGGGATGAACCAGAAAAATCATGGGGGTTAAGCATCAAAATTCAACGGGAATGATTGAAGATGTGTGATTTTCAATCTTGATGGTCCAAATATATCTGGGTAAATTATACCGACCTCACTGGAATTCCAGTTGTTTGATATTGTTTGAACCACCAAGATGGCAAGTTCACTTCAAATGGACCGACCCTAGGTGGGTTGAAATCAAGAGTCCCCCAGACTGTTGATGTTGCTTTGGATGTTACAAGAACCAACATCAGACACAGATTCTTGAATGGAGTGCAGTTTATGGTATAGCTGCTATTGCCATGTGGTAAACCCGACCAATCTGATTGTACTTCAGTGTCATTGTTCTCACATAAGCGTGAATCGTAGATCTTGGTATATGAAAACAAATGATAAATACCACCATGTTTGAAAGCTACGAAGAGACATATGTGCCATGGTTATCCATAGTCAAGTTAGTTTCATTGTATACATATACCCTATGGTTATTTAACATAGCCATGGAACATGGCCTATAGAAATAGATGGTTTACCGGTTTACCTATTAGAAATGGTGATTTTCCATGGCAATGTTAGTCAGAACCAGATGGTAATCCTAGGTGATATGATAATCAATTTCCCATTAATTATTGAGGTATTTATGTTTATGAACACTCATTTTTTCTTGGGTCCAATTATCCAATTATCCAATTTTTCTTGGGTGCCATAAACCATCCCCCAGTCATATATATATATATATATATTATATGTATATATATATACACCCAGTGTTCTTGGACGGTCATCAATCCATAGTTTTTTTTTCCTACCCACGTCCCATGCAGTTTCCCATGGGACGGATGACCACAGAAAACATCAACCGCATATCATACTGTTGGATATATCCATGATATTCCGATATACACAGTATATGTCCTATTGCTGTTGGTTAAATACCCTCTGGTAAACGTTTACATAACGAACTGGAAAATCACAATTTTTGATGGGAAAACTCACTGTTTCTATGGCCATTTTCAATAGTTATTTTGACATAACCAGAGGGTAAGCCTTTATATGATTCATCAGCATCCAATGTTTCAAGGTGGTTATCTACATTCCATGATATTCCAATGATAGTTCTTTTCTGGTTGGGTAAATCCCATAAATATTCTGAACATCCCATTAATATCCCATATCTCATATTGTTGGTGGTATATATATACATACATATATATATAATTATATATATATACATACATCATTTTCCGATTCTATATACCACATTGATCCATATTTTGATCCATATGTCAAGTTGGTCATCTATTAATCTTCCCAACATTTTCCCAACTATATTCCCAACTATTATCCCAAGATATTCTAAAGATATTCCCATGAATCGCCAATTTTTGACCATGTCACATATGCATCCCAGCATTCAGTTTCATGTGATCATGTGGTTCCCAATGATATCATTTGTTTCATCCAGGCTATTCTGGTGTCATCCCACATCTGCATGTCCCGTGTCCTATACTCACATATATATATATACATGTATACATATACGTATATATATATATATACATGTACACATATACGTAGATATATACATATATATATTCATGTATACATATATACACATATACATATGTATATATATATATGTATATATACATATGTATATATATATATATGTATATATACATATGTATATATATATATGTATATATATATTATGTATATATATATGTATATATATGTATATGTATATATATATATATATATGTATATGTATATCTATATATACATATGTATGTATATATGTATGTATATATATGTATATATATACATATATATATACATATATATATATACATATATATATACATATATATATATATACATATATACATATACACGTATACCCAGCTCTTCCCAGCCATTTTGCGGGTCAGGTGATGCATCAACGTGGTACCTGGGAGCCCATGGTCATCGACCTTCGGCTTGGATTTGTTAGATGATTTCAGCAAGATCGATGGGATTCCAGTGAGGTAAACTGACATGAAAAATGGTTGGAAAATGGCTATTTAACCACTATAAATGGTGATTTAATGGTTTAACAATGGGTTAACAATGGTGAAGAATGGGATGATAATGGGATATACCCTCTGGTTATGTCAAAATAGCTATTGAACATGGCCATTTATAGTGAATTTTCCCGTTGAAAACGGTGATTTTCCAGTTCGTTATGTAAACGTTTACCAGGCCGGGTCGATATGGAGAACCAGTTTGGAGATGACTTACTGGTGCTAAACGTTCGTAGGGTTGCTGGATGGGTTGCTGGGGGTTGGGATGATGGTGTCGAGTGTCACTGTAGCCCTGGGGAAAAATTGGGCCACTTGTGGAGCTAGGAAAAATTAATTCAGATCGATATTTCAACTATTTTACGTACATGAGATATGAATTTAAAACCCACAATAAGATACTGTTTGTCCAGAGATGCAAAACGAACCCATGTGAAATATCAGTTTTAGTTGTTCCACATTATTGTGGGTTACCCTCCAGTAACATAGACCCTGCCAGATGGGGGTTGGAAGACTAGTGAAACCACTATAAACTGGTCATTTTCAGGGTCAAACTGTTAATTTACTGGAGGTTAAATCCTCAACAAGCATCATCAACCAACCTGGTTTCCGTATGCGACCGCGCCGTCGGTGACAAAGCCTTCATGGTTACTGGTCGTAGCTTACTGTAACTGTTCTTATGTGATGTTTGCATAGACCAAAAAATATTTGTTTAAACAAAATATCACATCTACATGACTGGTGCTCCTTGTTTTTTTGTTGTGTGTAGTTCCAGTCAAGGTGTTTCCAACCCGTCCAGAAATATTATGTGTCAATAGATGGATATCATGTCTTCGATCCCAATAACTTATGACATACCACTTTACCGCCTGTTTGGTTGATATTGTTGGTATTTGGATGTATTTGGTTGATATTCTATCTACCTGCCATAGTCCCATATTTTTTGTCCCAAAGGTTTATCAATGGGAGATCTTCAGGATCCAATTGATGGAGGTACTAACTTAGTCCCATATTTTTGGCCATATTTTCTGGGGATATCCCATTGAGTTTATGGTGAGTTCTCTACCACTGGAACCGTTGACCCAGCATTTTGGGGAACGTTTCGTCAAGCGCTTACGGACGCCGATCCGTAGGATCCCTGGGATCCGTTTTCTGTTTGGTGGTGCTGACTGGTACAATGTGGCCCCCCCCCAGTGATGTGGTTGAACGTTGGTTTTTAACAAAAGCCCCAGTAACTATAGTTCGTTATTTGCGTACCATAAACCATATAGTGAAATTGGAGTTATGTGCACCAACTGAACGCAGACTTAGCTATCGAACGGGGGCCTCACATTGTATGATACATCAATGATACTATAATAACAATAGTGTAAGTCCGGCTTCTGCTGCCGTGGACTCAGCTTGTACCCTGGAGATTTGTCGATTTCTTGCTTGTTTGAAACAAAAATAGTGTATGATTTTTTTTTTCTGGTTGGTGGTGACTGGAACCATGGAATTTCATGACTTTCCCATCATATTGGGAATGTCATGATCCCAACTGGCGAACTCATATCTTTCAGAGGGGTTGGGCTCAACCACCAACCAGTTTTTGACTTGACCCATCCCCATCATTTTGGATATCCCACCTTCTTGTTTGGGCTGTCAATCTTCTGACAAAAATCTCCCACTTCTCGTTGGGATGGACATCGACCCAATCTATTGATTATGCTGGAATCGGGTATACATATATCATGTCATTGCCCCTGTTATTATGCTGTTATATACCCAATATATACCCAATATATGTTATGTATTGCTATGTTTTGTTATGGTAGTGTTTCCCATTTAAGGGCCCCGTCAATCAAAAATGACGCCTCATAGGAGGGAATTTTGGACAAAGTGCCCATCATAGACCCAGAAAACATAATACCATGATTAGTAGAATGATCTAGAATCTAAACCGGTTGTAGCCAGTATAGACTTATTATAAACTCAACCCAGTAGAATCTAATATACATATATATATATATTATATATATTATATATATACATATATATATACATATGTCAGTACAATAATTATAATATATTGTAATATAAACGACCAATTAAATGATTACATGATTAACTAATCATATCCACTTGTGTACATACATTCAACCCACTGCATTCCCATAAAGCCATACCTCTCGGTCCGTCAGCATTTTCCAGTGATTTTAGGAGAAATCCGTGGGCCGTGGCCTGTTGCATAAACTGAAGCACAAGGATCCATTGTGCTTCTTGGCGTGACCGCGGCGCCACGAATCATGTGGGGTGTGACGGATGACCGTTGTCTGACCATGAGGATTTTGACATTTCAGGCATCAAAACGCGCATCAAACACGATGGTTATGTTGGTTTATGTTGGTTTATGATTTTGGATTTACGGTGAATAGATCGATAGTTGGATGGATGTAGCAATTTCGAAATGGATGGTTCAACCCCGATTGTTTGTGGCTTAACTTTCCGTGTTTGTTAGTTAAATCACATTTTTTTTTGATAATTAAACCACTATTTTTGATACTTGTATCAGGAGTTATATCACCATCTTCGATAGTTTAGATCTAGGTTTTGTTAGTTGAATCACATTTTTGATGTTTGACATCCTATTCTTCTTCGTTCAGTCCCGACTTTTGATGGTTAAATGGATGTTTTCACCCAATTGAAGCATTCCCCTCTGGTAAACTAACGTAGCTATAGAAAATCACCATTATTAATGGGTAAATCCACTATAAATGGCCATTTTCAATAGCTACGTTAAATTACCAGAGGGTACTCTTTCCAGCCGGCTGTTTTTTTTGTCCGGTCCGAGGTTATTTCACGGAGGAACGGCTCTCCGCGCGCAAGAGCTTTCCACGAGGCGCGGCCTTGAAGCTGAGTTTGAACGGTTGGGGGGTGGTTGAGTTGCTATAGTTGCTGGAGATAGCCTGACTCAAATGGGTTCCATGTGGGTTGAAAAGGGTGCGGACATAGCCTTTCTTTACGCAATCGGTTTTTGTCATTTCCAGAGTCAGATAACTTACACCTCAGCTCTGAGGCTATGTTGTTCTGTTTCGCTTACATCCTATTCCTTGAATCACTTTAATGAAAGCCATTGACTGCGTAAAACAAGGGTTGCTCCAAGCCATTATAGATCAAATATAAGGGGAAAGCAGGCCATTTGACCTCTTGATCTAGCCATGTGACTTCTCCAAACCCATCTGGGATGTCCGGGGGCAACCACAACTGTCGGCCATGGTTTCATCATGTTTGGAGAAAATCGATGAAAATTCCACGGATTTTGATCATATTTTAAACTCATCTGGTTGGTGGTGACTGGAACCATGGAATGGATTATGACTTTCCCATCATATTGGGAATTTCATCATCCCAACTGAGTTTCATATGGTTGAAACCACCAACCAGTCATTGAAAGTCGATCGCTTTTCCCATGAACTTTATTTATGACCTAATAATGTCTATCTGCTTTCGATATACCCTCTGGTAATTTAACATAGCTAACATGGCCATTTATAGTGAGTTTTCCCATTGAAAATTGTGATTTTCCATGGCTATGTTAGTTTACCAGAGGGTAAATCGCTGTCTATACGCACGGCTTTTCCCTCCTATGCAGTGCCGATTCCCATGGCATCGATGGCAGGTTTCTTTGAAGTGACCACCTTGGAGATAGATCTGATGGACCCTGAGCGTGTGGAGGCCGTCCAATCGGCCGCTTGGTGCGATAGTGTAGAAACCCGTTGGTAGTACACAGCTACACATCCCATGATTTATAGCAGGATTTAACTGTGGATTTCGCAACCATCCACAGTTCAAGAATATTCTAGTTTTTTTTTTGATTTGTCTGAACATGGGGTATACTAATACTACCAGCCAAATGGATCTGCGAGTAATGACAACAGGGGATCGTCATGTTTGAAAATTGATATGGATTATATATAGATATAATATTATATCATTATATCCTAATGATGGTGGAATGACCATGGCCCATATACTATGTTTTGACCATGGCACATATGGTTGCTTTTTGGAGGGAGGCAGAATCCTTTCCACATTGATGATGACCACATTGATGAAAAACCCTCCGGTAATCAGCACGGTGGTAATGGAAAATCCACCGTGTGCAGAGTTGAAATTCTCATTAACACCTCTGGTAATTTAACATAGCTATTGAAAATGGCCATTTATAGTGAGTTTTCCCATTAAAAATGATGATTTTCCATAGTTATGTAAACGTTTACCAGAGGGTAACACCTCTACTGATAGGTGATTTTCTGGTATTTTCCCATGGATTTTGCCATGAATTTTTCCCAACAAAACACTGAACACCTCCATTTCGTCCGGGGGATTTTGCAGCTACGTTTGATTGCGAAAGCATCAGACCCCAGAATGGTACTCTCCCGAAAACGTTGGGCAGTTCCATGTTGGATTTGGGGGAGTGTAAACATAGTGTAAACATAGACCCTGAAAATGACTAAAATTTTTGTTCTGGATACCCTCTGGGGTATCTAAAAATACGTATGTTCTGGGGAGGTTTAACAACCAACAAACATAACTGGGGGTGCGGATTTCTCGCGCCTTGTATCCATTTATCGCCACAGTCACCCGGCTGGTTCCGTTGCTGGTTGCTGGTCTTTTAGTACCAATGGGATCATCGACCGGGTCGCGTTCAGAATTTAAAAGATTACCCTCTGGTAATTTAACATAGCTATTGAAAATTGCCATTTATAGTGGATTTATCCATTAAACATGGTGATTTTCCATAGTTACGTTAGTTTACCAGAGGGTACATGTCAGTTCTGGCCATGTCAAGATGACATGCTGGAGAAAAAAAACACACACATTGGCAATGGACAATGCACATTTTCCATAGGATCATCGTTAAATATATCATCTGCTTATGACGTTCACAGTTAGCCATGGAAAATCCACCCATTTTGAATAGTTAAACCCAGGCAAACCATCTATTTCGATTAGGGCCATCGAAATCCCATGGCGAACTGTTAGTCATAACCATCGGTAAATATCATCGTTAGTCACCAAAAAGCCATGCCTTGATTTGCCGAGATTTGCTGCTAAAATTGAGAACCGAAACGCCGGTTTTCCAAGGGACGCCGTTGTCGAAAAAAATGGTGGATTTTTCAGGACTCATCGGTAGCTAGGTAGCCATTTGTGGTCTGTTATACCCACAAATGCTGGTTGGTGGTTTGGAACATGTTTTTAAATTTTCCATTTCATAAAAAAGGGATGTCATCCTTCCCATTGACTGATATATTTTTCAGAGGGGTAGGACGAAAAACCACCAAGCAGAATGTTAGTACTCTGGAGGCTTGTTTTATCATAAGCCCCAAGGCTAGATGCCAAAACGAACGGAAATCCAGGATGATCAGATGCTGATTTTAAAGTACCTCATAGATTTCCAGCTTCGCAACACATTTATATATATATAATACTATATGTCTATCCATGATTTGGGCTATAAGTTGTTGATGTTCTATATGTTTCTTTCTATGTATGTCCTATCCAGGCCTGCTATAAGTTGTTGATAGTTGTTGGTGAGTTATGTTCCATATCATATCCCCACATAGATATATCCCCATATAGATATTCCCACAGCCGGGGCAGCAGTTCACCAAGCAGTGCAGCGAGCTGTCGAATAATGTATATATATATAAGGAATGGAAGTAACATATTTTATGTTATAAAGTAATCTTGAATAATCTTGACACTTCTAAGAATCGTTCTAAAAAAAAACACATAATACACCAATCAATAAACAGATACCCTCAGGTAAACTAACATAAGTATGGAAAATCCCCACTTTTAATGGGACAATTCACTATTTCTATGGCCATTTTCAATAGCTATTTTGACATCACCAGAGGGTAAATCATAGATATCTCTATATGATATCCCCATAACCCAGGACACTGAAGACGATGCACCGCGACCGCTGATGGCCTTGATCCCCGATCCGCTGGATGAGATCCTGAAACGTTGCTGGGATGAACTGCTGAACGACATGGGCGATTTTTGGTGGTTTTTTGGATGTGAAAAACCGGAAGTTTTGAGGAAGATCTCAATTTTGATGATTTTTTTCCATGGTTTTTGTGAAAGATCTCAATTTCTGTAAGGGGATGCGAATCGAGTTTTGTTCGTTGCTCAGTGGTTCTCAAGGGTAACCTGAAACACTGAGGCGTAGATACCAACTTTCGCTATCCCTTGTTGTTTGGTGCAAAAAAACACATTTTTACATTTCTGTGTTGGACCTTGTTTCGCTGATGCAGGTCTCGATTCCAAATTGGAGGATTTGGGGTTAGAATTCCCTGTGAAGAGTAGTTTCTGGATATTTCAAAGATTTTCGGTAAAACAAACTGTCCAAATGGGATGAAATGCGGCACAATTTCCTCTCTACATATACCGGCAACATTTGCCACGCATAAACCCCCCAACTTTCCGATCTATGGGCAGACTTCATGGTTTTCCCCCGGTTCAGCCGTAGAAAACACAATGACTGGTTGGTGGTTTGGAACATGAATTTTATGACTTTCCATTCAGTTGGGAATTTCATCATCCCAACTGACGAAGTCATATTTTTTAGAGGGGTAGGTATACCACCAACCAGATGAAGTAGGTCAAAGAGGAGCACGTTGGCCATGTGTATTGAATGTGCACATTTCCCGTGATCGCTTCGTCATCAGCAACCCCAGATGGATCTAAGAGTTGGAAGTTGGACACCTATCATCTATAAGACAATGTTTCTATTTTTTTTTGAGCCTCTACTATACATACATACGTAATTATAGATATAAATGTTATTATATAACTATAGATATTATATATATACATATTAAATATATACATTATATATATATACATTATATATATATATATATACATTATATATATATACATACATTATATATATATATACATATTATATATAATATGTATATATATAATATGTACATATATATAATATCTATAGTTATATAATATCATTTATATCTCTAATTACGTATGCCATTCCCCATTGTTGGCCTTTCCCCAACTGCTTCAAAGCCGGAGGTTTGAAGCACTACTTCACCTGGGTCTCTGATCTGACGATCCGCAACATCGAGGATTATCGCACCTGGGGCCCGCTGTGGGAAGCTTTTTTTTTTGGTCAAATTAAAGGTGTAACATATTGGAACTGAATATACAATATTATGACATAATAATGTATATATATATACATATGTAATATGTATGATTGTGTATATATATATATAGTATATATATATATATGCGCTGCTGACCTAGTTTCTTAGTGGTCAAAGTCCACATATGTGGGTCACATAGTAAAATCAATGTTTGATTGTTCAACATATGTTTCTTAGCAAAATCACTGTGTGATGCTCAAACATGCACAGAAACTATGTTATCTGGTTGGTGGTTTGGAACATTTTTTATTTTTCTCTATATTGGGAATAATAATCCCAATTGACTTTCATATTTTTCAGAGGGGTTGTTTTACCACCAACCAGTTATTATTATCCATCATTAACCATATAATAACCATTATTATAACCATATATTAGCCATATATTAACAGTATATTAACCACATATTAACCATTGAACCAATTTTGGACCGTTAAATCCTGCCATACTCCGCTGTTAGGCATGGATTATCGCTTCGTGGAGCTGCGTTGCCACGATCTGTGCCTTCGAACATCACCAAATTGGAGCAAGAAGAAAATGGATTCAACAGGGGTTAATGGTATTTTAATGGTATTTTAATGGTATTTTAATGGTATTTTAATGGTATTTTAAAGGGACTAAATGGTATTTTATGGGATTTTAATGGGATTTTATGGTATTTTAATGGGACTTAATGCGATTTTATGGTATTTTAATGGGACTTAATAGGATTTTATGGTATTTGAATGGGATTTAATGGGATTTTAATGGGATTTTATTGTATTTTAATGGGACTTAATGCGATTTTATGGTATTTTAATGGGACTTAATAGGATTTTATGGTATTTTAATGGGATTTAATGGGATATATGATGGTTACCCTCTGGCAAACGTTTACATAACGAACTGGAAAATCCACCCATTTTTCATGGGACAATCAACGATTTCGATGGCCATTTTCAATCGTAAACTGTTAGTTTACCAGAGGGTAAATGTCCCTTTTTGGGGATTTTGGACATCACCTTGAAATATGTGTTGAAGATTATATCCCAAAAAAGAGTTGGGTGATGTTTATTTTGGACATCTACCAGCCCCTGTTAAACAAACATTGGATCTAGCCATGGAACATAGGTCTTTTTTTCCTGAAACACTAGGGATTCAAGAGGATTTCATCAGAAAGAGTGAAGATATTTTACCATCATTTCATGACGAATACCCTCTGGTAAACCAACATGGCTATTGAACATGGCCATTTATAGTGAGTTTTCCCATTAAAAATGGTGATTTTCCATAGTTATGTTAGTTTACCAGAGGGTAGATGATTCGAGCAGTTTTTGTTGATCTTATGGATTTGAGACATTGCCAGGGGTCTTTCCAACACCAAAAATCCCCGGAGGCGTCCAATTTTACGACGTAAAACCCGGGTGAATCCTACCCATCCATCGATCAGCCAGGCACCGAACACCTGGATAAATGGTGATTTCTAAGGGATCTCCGGGAGCCTAGTTGGATGGTACCTGCGAACTAATCCCGGTCATTGATGGTTGTATACTTACCCCATATGCGTTTCCCGTGGTGCTGGTATATAAAAAACCTACGTCTGACTGGGTGATTTTGCGGGCACATGTTTCATAAATATTCCAGCACCATGGGTTGCATGTGGGTTATGGCTCTTGGTCTTTCGATGATTGGTGAAATTCCATCATCCACCACCTCAGTCACCTCGAAAAAACACCCCATCCCCCCGCTGGGGCGCGTTTGCGCCAGCAGAAATGCCACGTGACGTGTCATAACTTCTCCACCATCATGTGGGGATTTGCCCTTCTTGTTGTTGTTGTTGCTGTTGTTGCCCTATATCATAAGCCCTTATTACTATATATAATTATATATATAGTTATTCACATGGACCATAAACTCAAGAATTATTCCAATTGAAGTCAAGCAACTTACCCCGCATCACACAGAGATCCTCGGTTTTCTTGGTGAATTTGCAAAGTTGTTCTTGGTCAAAGATCCCTTCAGGTTGTCTGCTGAGGTGCAGCTTTCCCTATGTCCTGCTATGCCATGGTGCAACCCATGTGCCCCAGACCTACTGCCTGCGCGCCAAGCGCGACTCGGTAGAACAAATCATGGGCTGGATCGCTGACTATAGAAAGCCCATAGTCAGCAATATATACCAACATTTCTATCTATGACTTAGGGTTACTATGATGGTGTTGAATTTATAGCAACCCTAAGTCATAGAAAGCTTGGAAAGCTGGAAATCTAGGCCAACCTTTTTGGGGTTTCCGATATAGTTAAACCCTGTTGAAGTTGTGGTACTCTCATGAATAAACGACTTAAGTTGATACAATCCTGGTATTTCAGGAAGAAACATGGTGACTGAAGCAACAAAAAATCGGGAGTTGAGCATAAAACAAGAGGAATTCAGCAGCAAGATTCGGGAGTTTCGAGATTCAGGCAACACTAATGTGGGAATTAAACCTTAAGCAACAAAGAGTGTAATTACCCTTTGGTAATCAAACATGGCAGTGAAACATGGCAGTGGTTTGCAGCTGGGAAAATCATCAAACTAACTGAGGGACTTTCCAGCAATTCACGTTTGATTACTATATCAATCAGGTATCCCCGATCAAGCATTTGGCGGCAACATTATCCCATTTGTTGGGGTACCGAATGAGCCTCAGAAAAACCCCAGGAGAATTGGGAAAAGTACTAAACTTACGGTGGATGGTTTCGAAATCCTGCAGCAGTTGATAGGTGGTTTATCCATATTATTTATAGGGGTTCAACCATCCTTTCGGTGGTGCCGGATTTCTTCCGTCCACAGTAGGTCTAAAAATGGGGTAACACACCAATTTTGGGTTCTTGGAGGTTCTGGGTAAAATACCCACAATTCAAAACAAAAGACACATTTGGGGATTATTGATTGTGGATTTCCTAGGACAATGGATGAAAAAGTGGGCCGGTCGATCTCGAAAGATCTCGACATAATTCGACATATACCTGGCGAAATCGAACATGTTTCGTGGTCAAATCATATATAATACCTATTTCCTTATGAATTCGTGTTAACTGTTGCAATTCCATGGTTAAAAGAGATCCGTTTTCTTCATGTTCAAACCACTTACTGTGCATTTATCTGTGGAGTTGTTGTGCATTTATCTGTGGAGTTTCTTTCGGAGCTTCGCAGTGTAGCACAGGGGCCCTTGGTCAGATCTGGCCCATTCCATACCTCTCTGCTCTGAAAACCATTGCTTTTGATTACCCAGTGACTAATGCTATTCTGGCCAACACCTTTGGCTATGATGCGGGCTATATGGCTAGAGCGCTGTGTTTATCTGCAGCATGCACCGGTTTTCTGATGAGACGTCCTCTTTTGGATTACGGATTTGGCTGGAAGCAGTTGCAAAGTAGAAGCCTTTTGTTCAGTGGCCACAATGCTTCAACCCCTTTTCCTTGCACGAACCTTTTAGTGCGACGGCCATTTTGTGAGCACTGAAGGTGTTGTCAATTTGGTTGGTTTAAAGAAATTTGGTGCAGAGATATCCACTGCTAGTTGACGATTTGTTTGGCATGAGTCATCAGCTGAATGCTCGGCCCAGTTGAATTGTCCCACTTTGCTGGGTTTGCTTCTTTCATCCTGATTTGTGATTGCATCATACATATCGTTCACTTATTTGCACGATGGAATCTCGTGAATTACATTTTGGCTTAAAGCCAGGGTAAGCATTGGTGAAAACCATGCTAGGGGCCACGTCGTACCATGCGGTGCTCAAAGTCCAGACGCCCCGGCCGCTACCCTGCCTGGAGAAAAAAACAGTGAGTAAAAGCGCTTGAGACAGTGCATCCCTGGCACAAACCGGTCGGGAGTTTGGACTCCTTGCTACGGGTGCTGGAGAAGTCTGAGTGGTGCAAGTATACTGGTTTTTTCTGGCTCGCTTGCTTCCTCTCTTCCATATTCCGTGTCCTTTATCTTCATATTCATTTTCCAGCGTATTCTTTGAGAAAATGGTTGCCTTGATCAAGAATGTGACTAACAAGTATGGCCCTACATGGTATGTACATGCATCCTCCGGATTCATCATGTATTTGGTTGCTGTCAATGTGACCTCGGCAGTGAGCAAGCCTTTTCAGTGGGACTGGCCTGATCTGTACATACACTTTGAGCAGCAGATGCTGGAAGATCTTTGCCGCCGTGTCTGTGACCTTGTTTGGCTTGAGGTCCTCAACTGCTTAAGCTTCACGGGGAATTGTGCCAAGTTTTTGAAATGTTGTGACTGTTGTTTGGAACTTTTGCTTGGTTTCCTAATCCCCCCACATATGCGGTGGAAGCGAAAGGTGGCAGTGCTAGAACGATTGGCTGCAATTCTTTTCGTAGCAAAGACATTGGTTTGGTTTCATGCAAACTTGCATTGCAGGGTGGCCAAAAGTATGTGGCCCCTGCTTACTGTGAATGTACAAATGGCTTTGATAGGTGATACTCATTATGCTTTGGAGCTGGTTGCATGGTACCGGGAGATTTTTTCCTACATACTTGGATCGTGGCTTTTGCTTGTATCTTTGGTTTGCAAGGAGTTTTCAATACATTGGGATAGCTAGATTGCATCGTACAGGTTCTGAACATGTTGGACCGGTCCAGCGTTTGTTTGAGCATTTGGTCCTTTGTCGTCGGCAGCATGCCCCTCATGCGCGCTTTTTGAGATACAAGTTGGCCAGGCGGATGCCGCTCTGGAAGACGTTGTGGTTTCCGGTACATTGTGGTGAAGAACCCATGATACGCGCTGCCGAAAGTTTGCTTATACAGTCTTTTCGACCCAATGCGAACTTTGTACCTGCAGCTCCCAAACATTGCGGCGTGAAGTTTCCTAGGCGTAGGAAGAGGCCTCCAAAATTTATCCGCCTCCGTCAGAAAGGGCTTACTCCTGGAGTGCCTTCTGTTGGATCTATATGGTCCGGTGTTGTGTGGAAAAACATGTTGGCTCGTGCTGAAAGACTATTGTGGGGACGACAGCGACAACAACAACATGATGGTTGTGCCTTTCTTTGGTCCATGTCTTTCCATGAGGCTTATAGGTTCCAACAGAAGATTTTTTGGCTAGCTTTTGGCCAGTTTGGCCCTGTCAATTTGTACGAGCGTGGCCAGCGTCGACTTGTGGCACTTTGGCTGTCTTGCAAGTCTTGCCGACTTGACTTGTGTCGTTTGCGTCGCGCTTGGGCATGTGACTCGGTTGGTGTGGTTTTGGACGGCCTTTGCAAAAACATTGATGCTCCTGGGAGGAGACGGTTGGCTTTTGCAGCTGTGCGGCAAATCTTGCGTCTCGAAGGGCTCCCCAGCAAAGCATTGTACACTATGACGGTGCCTGAGAAGTACTTAGTTGGTGTTGTTCGTAGACTTACCTTTTCCATGGCGCGCAACTGCAAGAAATGGTCGAAATCCGTTTGCACATGGGTCTTGAAGAAAACGCGTGTGGTCGTGGGTCGCCGGCGCACTTTCCGTGATGATCTGTCGCATGCACAGTTTGCCCGCAAGGCAGATGTCCGGAGCGCACTTGATTTTGATGATGCCACCCTGGCAGCTGGCCTGTCTGGGTTTAATATGAAGAAGGTTGAAGCTCATATTGACACTGCTAAGCGGCGTACGGTACATGAAATTTGCCATGATATTGTTGGCTTGCTTAACAATTGGAGTTGCTGGTCAGGGCTGGGTCGCTGCAAGTGTCCAACTGCAAAGGCACAACGCGAGTTGTTTTCATCTCGTGCATATACCTTAGCGGCCAGCCGCCTCGACATGTCCCATGTTGAGTTTGCTACATACACTCATGACATGCGTTGTGATGATTCCTTGGTGCGGGTCCCAGATGACAAGGACCGTGCTTGCATGTGGTTGATACCTCCTGCTTGCTATGTTACTATGTTGCTGATGTATGCCATCCTGGCGCCTACATGGAAGCAGTGTCCTCTTTCTGTCCAGGAAGCTAATGTCATCACTGCTTTGACTTTACTTCGCATTGTCCCGGAGGGTTTGCACAGGTGGCTGCAGCTTGATGCTGATATCATGTGGCTTCCATATGTGTATGTGACAGTGAAGTCAAAATGCTATGGCGGTACTGGCCGGGGGTGTAGGAAACTATGGCATTCATGCTGCCGCAAAGTCATTTCTTACTGTAGGTGGCCTGCCAGGAGGAATTGGCGGTTTGTTGGACGCGGCTTGGATGTCATCCTTAGAGCCTCTGGTAAAGGATTCGAAGTACGTGACATGTCCTGTGCATCGACCAATTTGCTTGCTGATATCCATGGATTGCAACCTGGGCAATGTTGCAACACTTGCCAGCGGTGTGGGCATCTCAAGCGTGACTTGAATGGGGTTGTTTGTGATGCCGGTCAATTCTTTGAAATGGTGAAACCCCATGATGCCTTGGCTTCTGTTCGGGAGATTATGCATGATGTTTTTGCGCGTACTGGTCAGAACACTGTGACAGTTCTCAAGACTCGAAAAGTTCACGGGTTCCTCGGTGGCACTGCTGGCCTTTTTCGAGCAAAATCTGTGACCTTTTGCTTTGATGACCTCCTCCAATGTTTTTGGGCTTCTGTCATGGTTTGTTTTTGTTATGTGGGTAACATGGTTTTCAGACTCAGCAGTCTCCCGATTGGGGGCTTACTCAGCCGCGTGGCCTCTGGATATGTACTTGCGTGTGATGAGAGTGCATGGACTTCATCTGTATCTTCTCAACGGCAATCTGGTTTCTTTATACCTGGGGTGCGATGGGCTAACTTGCTTGTTTGTATAGATACATTGATGATCTACTTATTCTCTCACGTGCATGGTGCTATGACTGTCTATGTGCGCTTCCTGCCTTTATCTACAAGGTTCCCTTTGACCCTGGCCCCAACTCTCGCACTTTGACATGGCTGGACATGGAAATCAACTTAGACACTATTTGCCTAGGTTTGAAGAGCACACCTTTCCGGATTCCTCCACCCTGGGATGTTACCCAACAAAGACTACGAAATTTGTTTTGGGCAAAGCTTTCCAGATATCAGCAGCTGCAACTGACTGAAATAGTGTGGCAGGAAGATTTGTGCTTTCAAATGGTTTGCCTTTTACGGCAACATGTTGGACGAAGGCGTTTGAGAAATTTGGTTTTCAGCATGTACAAGAGTTCGGTTCACGAAGAAATTGCTTTTATGAAAACAGTGGTTTGTGCCCAAATGTTCAAAGACATGAGTAGGGACATATGTGGCGACGGAGCTGCTCTTACTCAATAGGCTTTGCGGAATTGTGCACAGCTTTTGAGCAGCCATGGTGAAGTTTGTTTTGACCCTCCTCTTCCTGCATTTGTGGCTTGCGCATGCTGGCTGGGGCTATAGTGGTAAGGGTTGGTCCCAGCGATCGTATGGCAGCAACTCCAATGGTGGAAGATGGCAAAACTGGAGCGATGGGTCTCAGCGCCCTCCCTTTCAGCCGCAGACTGCCCGCATTGAGGTTGATCATGTTGGGCGCAGCAGCTCACGAAAAGACAGGAAGAGCAAAAAGGACAAGAAGCGGCGACGCAACAGATCCATGTCATCATCATCCAGTTCTTCTTCACCATCAGTCAAGAACCGCCATATAGCCGGAAGGATCTACCCCAAAGTAGTGCTATGGGCTCCAGATTGCAAGCTGAGCTTGAAGCACTCCGCAAAGAAAAGGCAGACAGGGATGCTCAAGCTCAAAAAGAAGCTCTCTTGGCCGAAGTACGTGCTATTGCTGCAGAAGGGGTGAGGAGTGCGCCTTTGAAAGCCGGTTCCACGCAGCACATGCCAGATGGGTCTGTGGCACTGGGAGACACCAAAGATCAGCTCACACCACCTGATCGCATGGCAGTTTTTCACACACTGGATGGGTATGAGAAAGTCAAAAAGACCATGACATGGCTGGAGCTTGAGGAAACTCTGGCCAGCGAGGAGGAAAGTGTGCTGAAAGAGCTTTACAGAAAGGTGTGCCGCCGCGGTGGGGCTCCCAGATCGAAACCTGCAATGGCGCACAAGCTCGTGCAGGGCTTGAAGAATGCGATTGCTGAATTTTCAACTGCTTGAGGGGATGATGCTGTGGGGCTGTGTGAAGGGCGAAATACTGCAAGGAGCGATCTTCCTTTGCCACCATCCCTTCCGTTTTTTGGGTCATGGGTGGGCGTCTTCATAGTTTCTGCCACAGGTTGTTGTGCATTTATCTGTGGAGTTTCTTTCGGAGCATCGAAGTGTAGCACAGGGGCCCTTGGCCAGATCTGGCCCATTCCATACCTCTCTGCTCTGAAAACCATTGCTTTTGATTACCCAGTGACTAATGCTATTCGGCCAACACCTTTGGCTATGATGCGGGCTATATGGCTAGAGCGCTGTGTTTATCTGCAGCATGCACCGGTTTTCTGATGAGACGTCCTCTTTTGGATTACGGATTTGGCTGGAAGCAGTTGCAAAGTAGAAGCCTTTTGTTCAGTGGCCACAATGCTTCAACCCCTTTTCCTTGCACGAACCTTTTAGTGCGACGGCCATTTTGTGAGCACTGAAGGTGTTGTCAATTTGGTTTGTTTAAAGAAATTTGGTGCAGAGATATCCACTGCTAGTTGACGATTTGTTTGGCATGAGTCATCAGCTGAATGCTCGGCCCGGTTGAATTGTCCCACTTTGCTGGGTTTGCTTCTTTCATCCTGATTTGTGATTGCATCATACATATCGTTCACTTATTTGCACGATGGAATCTCGTGAATTACATTTTGGCTTAAAGCCAGGGTAAGCATTGGTGAAAACCATGCTAGGGGCCACGTCGTACCATGCGGTGCTCAAAGTCCAGACGCCCCGGCCGCTACCCTGCCTGGAGAGAAAAAACAGTGAGTAAAAGCGCTTGAAACCTCTCTCATGAAATCAGCACCCTGACCTCCTAACATCTCTGATGAACATGTCTCTTGTACTGCGCCTGCCACGCGAAATGCATCTTTCCAGATCTTCTTCAAATGCCCCACGCTTGCCAACGCTTTTGAAACCGTTACAAAACCCTCACGTTTTGCTGATTTTTGACAAGGTGCACAATCCCCTGCACCTGCCACGCGAAACGACATCTGAACGCCCAAAAGTTGTCCGAACATGCGGTGCTTTTAACATTTTGACTTGGAAACGCGCTTCGCGTCACAACGGCGTACACTTTTTCGACATCTCAACTTCAAAAAGTGGTCCGAACCTGCTGTGCTGTGTATTTTTTGACTTCGAAATGTGCTTCCCGCCACAACGGCGTCCACTTTTCGATACCTCAACTTCCAAAAGCGCTCCGACACTGAGGTGTTTTTTGCATTTTGACTTGGAAACGTGCTTCGCGCCACAATCGCGTGCATTTTTTCGACATCTCAACTTCAAAACGTGGTCCGAACCTGGTGTGCTTTGTGTATTTTGACTTCGAAATGTGCTTCCCGCCACAACAGCGTCCGCTTTTTCGATATCTCAACTTTCAAAAGCGCTCCGACACTGAGGTGTTTTGTGCATTTTGACTTGGAAACGTGCTTCGCGCCACAAAATGGCGTGCACTTTTTCGACATCTCAACTTCAAAAAGTGGTCCGAACCTGGTGTGCTTTGTATATTTTGACTTCGAAATGTGCTTCCCGCCACAACGGCGTCCACTTTTTCGATATCTCAACTTCCGAAAGCGCTCCGACACTGAGGTGTTTTGTGCATTTTGACTTGGAAACGTGCTTCGCGCCACAAAATGGCGTGCACTTTTTCAACATCTCAACTTCCAAAAGTGTTCACTTTTCATCTCTCCTCTGGCCAGATTGCTCCGCACCCGCCGCTTTAGCGAGCCTACTTTTCGACCCTCCGCAGCCACAAATCACTGGAAAACACCGTGAATCGCGACTTTCCTACCTTTTCGCGCACCTGCATCTTCTTTCGTCTGACTCTTTCTCTTCTCTGATCTTCTCTCTTCTGCTCTTCTCCTCTCTGACTCTTCCCACCTCTGCTTTTCCATCTGTCCATACTGTCGGAAGTTTGAGTTCTAAACTTCCTTCGATTGTATCATAAATACAACAAGGTTCTGGTCCGTGCTGCCTGACGCTTCGCTGTTGCGGCACCTCTGCAAGTTGAACAAAGGAGTCTGGCATACACTTGCCATGTTTCGCCAAGCCCCTCTGTAAGACGATGGATCGCATGCGGAGATATCCAAATCAATTTTTTCTTCTCCACTCAGCTCATGCACTGAAAAGAGTCATACGAATGCATGGGTTTTAAAGAGTCATCATCAGTCAACACGTGAGTTCATCTCATTGAGTCAATGCATAAGTTTAATGAGTCGACGAGACCAAGCACCTCCAGCATCCTCCAGCACTCTTACCCGTTCTGCGATCAGCTTGTCGGCTTCCTGAACTTTGTTGGATGCCCTGAAATAACTTGGGTACTTCAAGACTGAATTGAGAACTAGACGACGGATGGCCCGAGAGCGTAGAGGAGCAGAGTCTTCTCTTGTTAGTATGGAGACACCATATTACAAAACAATATATTAAAGATGTGTTATAGGCAGTCGAGAAGAGGAGTATCAAGACAATATAGCACAAGTACAAGACAGTAGTTTGCATCGTATCTTTTGTATAGCTTTTCACACACAGAACTTTTTACAGAGAGACGCTTTTACACACAGTACGGAAGCTTTTGCGCACAGACATTTTTACATACGGAAGCTTTTACACACAGACGCTTTTACACACACAGGCTTTTACACACAGACGCTTTTACACACACAGGCTTTTTCACACAGACAGTTTTACACACAGACGCTTTTACACACAGAAGCTTTTACACAGACGCTTTTACACACAAAAGCTTTTACACACAGAAGCTTTTACACACAGACGCTTTTACACACAGACGCTTTTACACACAGAAGCTTTTACACAGACGCTTTTACACACAAAAGCTTTTACACACAGAAGCTTCTACACACAGAAGCTTTTACACACAGACGCTCTTACACACAGAGGCTTTTACACACAGACGCTTTTACACACAGACACTTTTACACACAGACACTTTTACACACAGACACTTTTACACACAGGCGCTTTTACACACAGACAGTTTGACACACAGACACTTTTACACACAGACACTTTTACACACAGACGTTTTTACACACAGACGCTTTTACACAGAGCACACAGAAGCTTTTAAGCAGACGCTTTTACACAGACGCTTTTACACAGATGCTTTGACACACAGCACACAGAAGCTTTGTACACGCAGAAAAATCACAATTTTACCTCAGTTTTTGGCGATCGGCCCTCATTTCGTGCGAAAGGGTTGCAACGGGAACCCGGAAATCGCAATTTTACCTCAGTTTTTGACGATCGAACCTCATTTCGTGCGAAAGGGTTGCGCCGGACACCTTGAAATCGCAATATTTCCTCAGTTTTTGGCGATCGAACCTCATTTCGTGCGAAAGGGTTGCGCGGGGCGACTTGAACTCGCACTTTTACCTCAGTTTTTGGCGATCGAACCTCGTTTCGTGCGAAAGGGTTGCAACGGGAACCCGGAAATCGCAATTCTACCTTAGTTTTGGGCGATCGAACCTCATTTCGTGCGAAAGGGTTGCGTTTCGTGCGTGTCGTTGGCACTGCCCCCGCCCCCGCTTTCAGAAGAGAAATATAAAAGAAGGAGAGGGCGAGAGGGCAAGAGGGCAAGAGGGCAAGAGGGCAAGAGGGCAAGAGGGCAAGAGGACAAGAGGGCAAGAGGACAAGAGGGCAAGAGGGCAAGAGGAGAAGATGTGAAGATGTGAGGATGTGAAGATGTGAAGATGAGAAGATATGAAGATATGAAGATGTGAAGATGAGCAGAAGATGAGCAGAAGATGAGCAGAAGATGAGAAGATGTGAAGATGAGAAGATGAGAGACAGAATCCCACTATTGGAAGAACCCTGCGCTCAGACGCTCTCGGGAAAAACATCGAAAAACGTTCATTTTCCGTGAAAAAGACTTTCAAGCAAATCAGGAAAGTCAAACAATGCAACTTCACCTTTTGTCCTTGCCAATTCACATATGGAAGCGATGTAACGCAGTCAAAAAAGGAACTCCCTTCCTCACGCAGGCGGACCAGTCCAGGATCCATAGATTGCCTGCAGATTTTTAAAACCGCGACTGCGGGACTGCTCTCTTGCACAGTCGACGAAACAACTGAGGACCACACCCAAGCCGTTGCCGCATAGTGAGAAGATTCCTGGCCTGTAATGAAAACAACAAGCAAATCAAGCAGCTAGATATGTGTGACAGGCAAATGAGGGTGATTGAATTGTGCTGATTGTATCCAATTGTTGGGTCAGTGGTCAGTATATGGCTCATGCGATCCAATGTCCTCGTCGTCAGCAACCAGCAATTCCCAGCAGCGTTCAATTTTGGCCTGTAGCAAGAAATTAGAAAGGTTGAAGAGGACATGGAAGGACAGGATTTGAAGGTTTTAATGTAGCTGTAGCTCATATATTTCTAAGGCAAAATGGTCAGTCA